GCTTTTCCACTTATTCACATGGCTTCAGACCGGGACGTAGTGCTCACACGGCCCTTAATGTTATAACGGGTACCTTTCATGGTGCGCAATGGTATATTGAAAGATCCCTGGAGGCCGAAAGCCCTGGAGCCGTAAATCATGGAACTCTGTATAAGATCATCCGGCGGACAATCCGAGATAAACGGTTTCTCAAACTAATCCGCTCTGGACTACAAGCTTTTTTTCATATGCCACACGGAGAGATTGAAGAGGCGACCATAGGCACCGCCAGGCGGCGGCCCTTCGGCCTTAGTCCCCTACTATCAAATATTACCTTAATGAACTCGACCAGTTTATAGAAACAACTAAGTGGTAATTTGGCTTTTTGGCTTGGAAGTCTTTCTGTATTTTTGACTTTTTATTATTCTTTTCGTTTACTTTTTCTCAATGCTTTTAAGCGAGACATCGGAAGATGTCATGCTGCTCCTACTCTGATGGCAATCCCTTTAATACTTTTGGCTTTTGGAAGTCTTTTTGTAGGATATTCGGCCAAAGATATGATGATTGGTTTAGGTACTCGTTTTTGGGCAAATTCTATTTTCATACTACCAAAAAACGAAATTATGTTTTCGTCAGAATTTGCCACTCCAAGAATGATGAAACTAATACCCATTTTGTTTAGTGCTATAGGCGCATCGGGCCTGGAAATGGCCCGTGCAGCCTGTTGCAGGCGCAGCATGTAACATAATGCTTCCATTGGGTCAATGCCTTCTAAGGGCATACAACCTCGTGTTGGTGACATCTTCTTACTCATGTTTTGATGGCCTCAACTTTTTCCCCTCCTGTTGTTGTAGGTCTGCGCCTATCCCATGCTGGCTAGTGTCAGTCGTAACTATGAACAATCTACCAGGATCTGGGATATTGAGGACTCTGTGATGAGTCAGAGCATACTTACATTTAGATGTCCATTCCCGAGGGGTGTCAAGGCACGTGAGATCAGTCAAGGGGCTTTTGATAGTGTTGTAATTCTTCAGAAATGGATCTAAATAGGCCGTCATCCCCAAGAATGATCTGACCTCTGACGTGAGTCAAAGGCCGAGGTCAAGGGCAATCCCTAATGGTGGACACCTTCACATCTGCCGGCCTCAGATCATCCCGGGATATTTCATGACACAGATACAAGATTCTGGTGCGACCAAACTCACATTCTCGAGATTGATCTTGTATTGGTGCTTCCGGAGAAGGTCTAGCACAGTATCAAGTGGTGCACGTTCCTTCAGAGTCCTACATAACATGAGTCCTATATTGTCAAGGTACAGGACGATGAACTTGTCTAAGCAGTCATGAACGATCCTATCCATGGCGTGTTGGAACCTATAGCTACATTCCATAACCTCAAAGGGCATCACCACAAAATCGTACAGGCCGTACCTAGTTTGAAAAGCGGTTTTGTGCTGATCCTCTGGCCTAACTTGTATCTGATGATACCTGGACTTCAGATCATTCTAAGGTACCTACATCCCTACACTCCTTTCAAGAGGTTCGCAATGTGTGGTAGGGGCGCTGCGTTCTTCACAACGAGGTCATTGAGGCCCCTATAATCAATGCACATCCTTATTGTCCCCCCTTTCTTAGGGTGTACCGCAGGGAGAGGTAGTAGGTCGTATCCATCCCTTCTTACTCAGCTCCTTCCGTTGTCTATGGAGCTCATCCAACTCCACTGGAGACATCCAATACATCTTACCCCCACACTTTACTTCCTGGGATAATCTCTATCGCAAGGACGACCTCCCTATCAACAACTCTGGAGGGCTCCTCCTGAAGGTCTGAATACTCAGCGAGGAAGGAGTCTTGATGGCGTGCCGCTTCGGAGGTATGAAGACTAGGTACATTCCCTCCTCTGAGTTTTGCTTATAGTAATTGTAGAACACATGAGTACATAAACAGCCATAAGAGTCTGCCAACTTCTTAGAACTACACTTTTTCAAAAGGACTCTTCTCCCCTCAAGCACTTTGTACTTCATCGTCTCTGTCCCAGTATAACTGGGGCTCAACAACCCCGAGGTAGTACATCCCTAGTATCATATTGAAAGGAAGCTCGCCGCTTACCAAAACTGAAACATTATGTCTCATTTGTTGTACCCCATAGAAGAAGGTACAAACTACGTCTTTCACGTAGTTCTTCGCCGTGATCCACTGCTTGTTAGCTAGGTTCGATACTACATATCTACTTAGGCGCTGCACCCAGTCCCCTAAGTGCAGCCTATGTACACAAGTGTGGCTGATGTTAGTGCACGTAGAGCCAATGTCTGTCAAGGCCCTTGCTTTACGGCCACCTACACTAACTTCTACCACAATCAATTTCCCTAGAGGACCTGCCATCGTCACCCAGGAAGCTGGTAGGTCCTCCTAAGACCATTCCCTCTGTAGTTCCTCTAAGCACTCAGTCACATCCGATGAACAGAGCATCATGTGGTATGGCTGTGAATGCGGGGGATGACAGTGGGATGAGTGGCCTCAGCCATCCTCTGCTGAGAGGTTGAGGAATTTCCTACCATCTCCTATTGGCTGGACGTGTCTCCCTGTGTCGCCTTTTGCTGCTGCGGCGGCCGCGACTGCGCTTTCTGCAACACTTTCTTATTGGGACGCATACTCTTGATGTGGCCGTACTGTCCACACTTCATACAAACTTTTCAGGCGACATGTCTCGCTGTAGGCCTTCTCGGATCCAACCTGGGACATTAATGCTTGTTCCTTGACCCCTGGACTGGCCTCCCTTTGATGGTCTAGCCCGCTGAGCCTTCGCTACAATCACTACTCCCTCAGCAGTGTCATGGCTGCTACTGGTTTCTGTGCTTCCTACCAGGTCGGAACGATCCTCCACCTCTTCCTGGTTAGCTTCTGCATCTGCATGGAGAAGGGAGCCTCCTTCCTTCCTCCAGTCCTGGGGCAACTTCTTCTTGTGCCCAGTTACAGCTCCCTGACTACCGTCTTCACCCGAAAATAATGCCCGGGTGTTGTATACGAATATAATGCCCGCCGGGCGTATATTGATTTTTAACGCCCAGGCGTTGTATTTACTATTTAGTACAGTGGTGGCAACTTCGGTGGGGGCCCAAATTCCGAATTTTTTTTTTTTTTTTTTTTAATGAATAGCCCTTACGATAATGCGACCAACTTTTGGCTGCGGGTCACTTCAGAATTCCTTAAACTCGAAATAAAAAATGAAAACAAAAAATCAAACCGAAATATACCCCTTGGAAGTCAAAACCCCTTTTAACCCCCTTTAAAACTCATGTGTAGCCCCCTCCCCGCCCTTTCAAACCCATGTATACTACCTCTACAAGGAACTCTGCCCATGAAACATTCAAATATAACGCCCGGGCATTCTATTCGGATATAATGCCCGGGTGGTATATTCGAAGGGGCGTTCTATTCAAAAAAAGTGCATAAAAACGAAAATCTGATCTTTTTAGGGTAAGGTGAATATAACGCCCGGGCGTCATTTTTGGGTGAAGACGGTAGCACTACTTAGCTTTGCCTCGAAGTCAAGTGCCATCATGCTTAGACTAGTGATGTCGTTGCTAGTGGTGGTGGCCTCATTGACCACCAAGCCCTTGATATTCTCTGGGAGACACTTCAAGTACATAGCCAAAAGCATCTCGTGATCATATCTTACTCCTGGAACCATTATCAGCCCTCTCCGTGACCTCCCGCTCAGACCTATACTTCCTCTTATCATGGTCGTTCTGATCATCTGTTGCGCTCTGCGGCTGCTGGTGGTCATGCCATCTGGCCTCAACGGAGGTCATAAACTGATCTAGGGCAATGCCTGGAGCCCATGCAGCCATATCCCTGCCATGCCCAGCTGCTTGGATCACACCATCTTACCACCTAGCTGGAGAGCCCTTCAGAAGGGATGCAGCTACAATCACCTCTTTGTGTACGCAAATGTCCTGTGTCTGCATGAACACTGGTACAGACCTGAGCCACGGTCCCAGGTTCTCATCCTTCTTCTCGCGTGTGAACATGGCAGGCTGTATTATGGACATCTTTGGGACATATTGGGACTGGGCCCTGCCTGCAGACCCTGCAGACAGGGCTGCCTGCATCTGCCCTGTAACTGCAAATGCTTGGGGGGAAGAAGATTGTACCTGGGTCTGCGATGGACCCGTTGCACTGCCGCCTGCAAGTGGCATACCAAACATAGGTGAGAATGGCCCATTTAGGGGGGCAGACTAACAGGTAAAGGCCCTGTTGGCCGAACAGCTGGTTGCATCACACTGCAGCTAGAATCACCTCTTTGTGCCCGCAAGTGTCCTTTGTCTGCATGAACACTGGTACAGACCTGAGCCACGTTCCCAGGTTCTCATCCTTCTTATCGCGTGCGAGCATGTCAGGCTGTTGCAGACTCGTGAATACATTCACCCAGTATGGGCAGAACCAAAGATCAACCAATATAGGATGAGCATATATGCAGCAGAAGTCTGAGATATGGACCGACTCACATAGACGGAAGTTATCCAGACATCACTCAACACACAAGCAATTGTGAGATGGTGGGGTCTGAAGCCATACATAGACGGTGCTTCAGCCCCGTACACCCACACACAGATGAATGGTGGGAGGAGAGACGATGGAGGTGGGAGATAGGGACAGCGCCAGATGTCACCGAACTAGAATCCAGAATGTCACCGATGTAGTAGCCCAAAATGTCACCGAACAAAATCAAAATGTTGTTGACATAAGTCACCAATGTCGGAGATACAGAATCCTAATATAACCGATGACCGATCTGTGATGCCGCCAGGTATCAATCCCAAATATCTCCAATGTCTCAAATCCGGTAAGTGTCACATCCTCCTACCACCGAAGTCCAATCACTGATCTCTGTCCATCTCGTATCCAAAGTCTCTCATCTGAAGAAGAAGAAGAAGAAGAAGAAGAAGAAGAAGATCCGAGAGGGGCAGAGGAGAGGTGGAGATGGCGAGTCAGCGCCCAGGCTCCTACCTGCGGATGCAAGCTGGCACCTTGCCGCTGTAGAAGATCGGCCCGCGCCGCTGGAGCTATGGCGCTCGCGATGTGGCCATCAGGTAAGTCTCCCTACTCTGCCTACCACCTCTACAGCCAGCACTACGCCTAGTGCTGCTGCCTAGCGCTGCGCTGGAACGGAAATAGCGCAGCATTTCTCCTCAGTGCTGCCGTACTCTTCTCCCCGGAAATGGCTGTTGGCTGGGCCTAAATACTGGCCGGCGGCCAGTTCGGCCTCGGATCTATCGTCCGATCCGTGGTTCAGGTCGGACCGGTTTTCGGGAAAACAGGCTGCCTAAACGGCGGCCTGGTCCAAATGAAAACGTTTGGCCATTTCTCGCCCAGGGCCTGCGGCTGCAGGGCCTGGTCTAGGACCGGTTGCGCAAGGCCAAAGGGGCGGCCTAAAAAGGTCCGGCCTTTGGGCCGGCCTGGCCTGGATTATCGCGTCCAGGCCCTCAGAAACCTTCCGCCTAGTCATCGGGCCTGAAAGGGCCCGTGTGGAATGCAGTATGTAACACAGGCTGTATTATGGACATCTTTGGGACATATTGGGACTGTGCCCCGCCTGTAGACCATGCAGACAGGGCTGCCTGCATCTGCCCTGTAGCTGCAAATGCTTGGGGCGAAGAAAGTTATACCTGGGTCTACGATAGACCCATTGCACTGCCGCCGGCGAGTGGCATACCAAACATAGGTGAGAATGGGCCATTTAGGGGTGGCAGACTAACAGGTAAAGGCCCTGTTGGCCGAACAGCAGGTTGCATCACACTGGCAGGAACTGATCTTCCCTGCGCTCCGAACACAGCTAGTATCTGGTCCTGACCTGTAGTGATGGAGTCTACCTGACTCTCGAAAGATAGCACGTCCTTTCTCAGCAAGATCTCTCCACGTGGGACAGGTTAGCATCCTGCACCCCTTCCAATGCCGTTTTATCTGTCTGTCGACCATCTAGTCTGACCTTTCTCTCTCTTGCTCTCCCAGCTCTATCTTCAGCCTCCTGAAACTGGGTCGCTAGTTGCTGTGCCATATTCTCCGCTTCCTGCAGCTCGAAATCTTCTGCAGTGAGTGGGAGAGGCTGGCTTGACTGCAAGCCTGGCTTTTGATGAGCTGAGGTTGGGAGAGGCTGGCTTGACTGCAAGCCTGCCTTTCAACGAGCTGAGGTACCTGCAGTGAGTGGGAGAGACTGGCGCCACTGCTCTGTTGGATGCCTGCATGGCCATGGCTCAGAGCGCCTGTTCTCCTAACCCTGCAGTGGACACTATCCTGCCGAACCGCCTCCTGTCATCAGCCTCTCTCATACATCTCCTCTCGCCCCCTGAGTCTAGCTGCTGGAAGACTAAAACTTCTCTAAAAGTAGATTATAGGCAAAGTCCTTCGGGTGATCCTGGAGTCAGCTAATCCCTCGCTGTCACTTCCTTCTTGACTCGTCAACTAGGAACAGAGGTCTCCCTCCACTAGAACTATGTCCTACCGCTGTACTGACTCTGACCGCCTAAAAATAAATAAAAATAAAACAAATTACTGGCCCATGTTGGGGAAACCGTCCGATGTCACAGCAAACTTACATGCCCCCAACCACAGGTGTAAAGCAACAAAAGACGGCAAATAAGGTCAGAGACAACGTACCACATAATGCTGCTGCCCCCAACCACAGATATATCACCAGCTGTGACAACGTGCATTCCCTTGACCGGTTGTAGCATTGGAACTACGGACAATGCAATGCAAGTGAGTCTCAACAGTGTTTTACATGATGACTCAGTTGACGAGAAAGTGGTCGAGTGAATGGGAGCACTCTGAATGGTTCTTCAAGTCAGACTATTCTTTTTAACACAATCACAGATAGCGGAGTGTGTGTGTGTGTGTGTGTGTGTGTGTGTGTGTGTGTGCGAGAGAGAGAGAGAGAGAGAGAGAGAGAGAGAGAGAGAGAGAGAGAGAGAGAGAGAGAGAG